ATTTAGACAAAATGCTTGAAACACAAACCCTGTTCCTGTGACCAAAGAATGACAATCCAAGTATTACACTACAAAACTATACATGAAACACTTAAAACCAAAGAGCAAAGCTTAACAATAGCAAGTTAGGTTGAAGAAGAAGAAGAAGCTATCAGTAGGAAAAATCGTCGTCATCGTGGATTTGAATACGTTGTTGCTGTTGGGTGAGATCGTTAATATCCTTAACGATATCGAACACAGCTTCGGGCTGAGCGAGTTTAAGTGAATTTTCCGACATCCTCTTCAGCTCATCTCTCTTGTTGCTGAACCATTCTGCCACGATCTTTGCTGTTTCTTTGGGGCTTCTTGTGAAAACTCCTGCTCCATTGTCCACAACATATGGCACATTGCCCTTTTCCTATACAAAATCCGAAATGTTTCCCTCTGTTATTTAGGGTTTCTTTTTAACCCTTTGGATGTAACCGTGGAAGGGTTTGTTTTGTTCATTCACCTGTCCGGGAATGTAGTCGTTGAGTATGATCGGGAGGCCTCGGATCAACGCTTCCGCTATCGTACCAGGACCAGCCTAGAATCCGAAACATGGATTAATATGAATACGCATGTGAATATTAAAAAGAGACAGTGTGTATAAATAAAGAAGAACTAGGGTTAGAAAACACAAAATGTACCTTTGTTATTATGCAATCACAAGCTCCCATCCATTTCTCCATTTGCGTCTCGAATCCACGAACCTGAAAACCGAATAAGTTACGTTTCTTCAGTATCAAATCTTACAATGTCCGAGCCAAGAATCGTTGGTTAATGGTTAGTGATCATTACCTTAAACGGAATCTTCCATTCCAAGGATGCTAATGTAAGGGCTAGAACTTTGTTTCGACCACAGATTATGATCAATTGCCCGATCGGTTTCCCGTTCTCAGCATCGTACAACGATTCTCCAAGCGCTTCAGCTGTTTTCTGAACCGGACCCATCCCTTCACCGCCTCCCATCAATAGAACGGCCGGTAAATCAGGATCCATTTCAAGCTCTTTCCTTAGTTCATCCTATACAAAACCCTTATATCCAATGTTACAGTCTATATAAATAAGCAAAAACATATATGTAATACAGCTCAAATTCAATGTGAAAACATGTTTATATAAATCTTGGAAACGTAATTTTATGTAACGAACCTTTGATAGAACGGCACGAGCGAAAGACGGTCGGATTGGTAAACCGAAGACACGGATCTGAGACTCTTCAAGACCATCTAACAATGCCCTCTTGGCCACCTCTTTCGATGGGCAATAGCATCTGTTCACTCTATGATGAAACCTGAAAAGAAAAAAAAACTCGATCAAGATTACTTACATGTGTATTGCAAACTATATATTAAATGAAAATAATCTTAAAAAATGTTAGTGAACCGAATGTTACCATGACCGGTGGCAAGTGTTGAGATCAGTGATGACTGTTACAAAAATAACTTTCTTCTTGAGGCCTTGCCATTTCATAACCCATAATGGTATGTGTTGCATCAATGGATGAACACTAATGATAATGTCCGGTTTGTATTCCATTAAACCGGTTTCTATTTCCCTGCGACCAAGAAAAAAAAAGATCATACCGGACCGGATGAGAAAAAATTTCATAAGTTAAATTACTCATCGTTAGAATAATTAAATAATATCAAGAGTTTAACAACCGTACAGAAATGAAATGCCACCATCTTCAATAATTCAAAAAGTTTATATTACTATTATACCAAATATTATCGTCATTGTATATATCTCCAAACGATATCTAAGGATATGAACGTACTATTATACACATAAAATTCGTTAATACTTAGAATACTAAACCAATAATCCATATAACATTTTAATTATTATGTTATTAATATTATATATATATATATATATGAAAATTAATTAATGGGAAACATACTTGGCGTAATAAGCGGCGAGAGCGGAGAGATAGCTGCTATGAATCCATTTGGGAGATGTGCCATGAAATGCAACCTTCCAAAGGCCAACATGCTTTATCATGAACTTGTATTGTCTCTCCATATCGTTCAATGGCCACCCCGTGTATTCCTTCCACACGTCCTTAATTATTATCTGCAACAGCAACAAAAATATATAAATATATAATTTCATATGAATCAATTTATTTTTATATACGTACTCTTTACTTCATTTCGATCGATCTGTAGATAATCTAAATTCATACTAATTATTTTAACTTTTGAATGTATAACAAAAGTGCATTTTTTTAAAAATTAGGAATACTGAAATTATGAATATATGGAATAAGAAAAAATTATTGTAAGAATAAATAAATAAATAATGGGAAAAGAACGTGGTATTAGTGTCATGCCAACGAGGCAAGGAGACAGTGGACAGTATCTCCGACAACCTGGCAAACCGAGATCTACACTACATTACGAGAAAAAAATATTTTTTTTTTCGCCGAACAAAAACAGCCATTGAATACGGCGGAAGTAATTTACAAATATACCCTTGTATCATAATCACTGCTTCATGTTTAGAATTAGAAGCAACAGTCTTTTATTGTCGTTGATGTCGATGTAAACCAAGACGAGACAAGATCTTTTCGTTGTGGAATTATTTTGTTTAAAATTTTAAATATTTCAAAATTAAAATTTCTGATAAATTTCTTGAAATGAATTAAGAACATGTAAATTTAACTACTGGAAAAAAAAAAGAACCTCCGGATAAAGGAGAAACTCCTCTCTATTACTAATTTCATCTACTTTTTTTCTTCGAATGCCATTTTAAATTAAACTCTAATAAGATCTATGATTTTAATTTCAATTCAATTAAAACCGAATATAAGAAACCGGATATCCAAATTAATTTAATAAAAACATGTTAAAACATAAATTTATATTTGTTTACAGAAAACACCGAGTATTTATCTCGATTCGAATATTTGAAAATTATGTATAAACAAAAAAAATCGAATCGAAAGTAGAAGTTTTTAAAAAAAAAGATATTTATTAAAAAGTATTTTCTAATTCTATAAAAAAAATATATAAAAAAAACGTAGGGAAATTTTTTTTACCCGGTAATCATCACCGAACTGGATATTGAAAGCATCACGAATGGCCTCGGCGGAGGCACGGTGGCCGCCGCCGGTATCGCTCATCAGAATAAGAACGGTCTTCGTCTTCTCCGCTCCCATCTGCTCCATCTCCATCGTCTCTTCCTCATCGCAAAACTCCATTCTCTGTTTCCTGTTCTTCTTCTTGTTCTGTTTCTCTCCGCCCCCTAGACTTTTCCGGCGACTTCTCCGGTCAAAATCTCCGCCGCCTAACACGAGGTTGCTGTAAACCCTTCGTAACACCGTCTCGGTCATTGAACCGGCCGGTTTACTCGGCGAGACCAGTTTCATCGCCATTAGAGTTGCTTTGGTGATTATTTGGAGAAGAAGAGCGATACCCGGATCGGGGTTTATGTCGAAGAAGAGAAATAAGAGGAGAATCCTCTTTCCTGCCACCGCCACTGCTGCCCGGAAATTTTTCCCTGGATTTTCCAGGAAACAGAGAGAAAATTAAAAACAGAGGACTGGTGGTTGTGTTTTGGTGATTTTGTTTGTTGTGTTGTTGCTTTGGGGTTTTAAAGTTCAGATAGAAGAGGGGAAATCCTCGTTTTCCCGCCACCAACGCCGGGAAAAAGTTTGCAAATTTTCCCGGAAACGGAGAGAAAATAAAAATTAGAGGAAGAGCGAGAGAGAAAGAGAGAAGACCGGTAGTTGTGTTCTCGTGACTTGTTGGTGTTTGGGGTTTTAAGGTTATGAAGACCAAGTTGTCGTTGCTGTTCTTTTTTTTTTTTTGGGAATTTGGAATTATGCTGGAATTATTCTTTTTTATGTATTTTTTTATATGTTTTAATTTGGATTTTTGGTTCTTCTTGTGGGATTTATGGTGGGGGTAGAGAGGGAAATAATGAAATCCGATGACGTCAGATGCGAATTTTATTTGGGAATCTTCGGATGTGGAGATTGAAAAGATTCGGATCTTTGCTTCTTATTCCAATTTTTTATATTTTGATTCCCTCATAGTTTTTGTGGGATTTGACGCTTATGCCCTTTGCCTGTGTACAAAAGAATTAACTCTTTATTACATATATATGTTAGATTTTTACTAGAGAAGTAAAAATGCAAACTCTTAAAAAGGCATTATAAAAAATATCCTTATTTTGCTATTTTGATTTCGAGGAACCGTCTCAATCTGTGATCTTGTGACCTATGTGAATAGAAATTTAATCTTGGTCATATTGACCATAATTTTAAATTTACGATGATCACACCCATTCATTATGTTCATATCTTATATATCTCACTAATCATTTGATAAAAAATTTATAAATTCAATGTTATGACCAAGATTAAATTTCTGATCACATGGATCACAGAGTCACAGTGGGAGAAGGGTATACTTTGAAGTCAAAATAGCAAAGTAAGGGTATTTTTGATATATTGCCCCTTAAAACTAACTTTGGTTTATGTTAGATTTTTATAAATAAAAATAAAAATGTTACTTCTTTAATATATATATATATATATATATATGTGTGTGTGAATTATAAATCTGAATTAAAAATTAATATTTTGATTCAGATATAGTAAATAGATATGATAAATATGATTGAACTAAATAAAATATAACTTATTTGAAGTAAATTTTGTTTAAAATTAAATTATTTGATATAATTATGATAAAAATAGAAATTTATTTAAAATTTAGAGAAATAAGTAAAATTTTGAAAACTTTGTAAATATATATATATATATTTCATAAAATTATAATTCAATATAGAAGTACAATAATTAAATTTTGTACAGATTAAAAAAACAAAATAAATAAATAATGGAAAAAAAAACAAAATCTAAATTATGCCTCCTAAAGCTTGATCATCTTATTCAGTTCAACAATTTCATTCAGGCACCGGGAAAATAACAATGCAGCATTTTATCTAACTCTATACGTTTATTTAACTGCGTTAGCATTTAAAATCATATGGAGAAATAAAACATTTTTTCCAAGTTTTTTGCAATATCATATGATTGGGTATGGACTCAAATGACAAACTAAACCCTCAATTTTATTTTCCTAACAAATATTCAACTACTCGAAAATAGAGAAAATTGAGAAATGGCCAGCGAATTTGAAAGGTACATGAAATGATTACTAGCACGTGAATGAATCAATTGTTAGATTGGCGACTTAATTGTTTTTTTTAAAAAAAAAATAAAAGAATTTAGTTTGAATCAACTCAAACCAATAAAAATCAAATAAAATTCAATTCATGATTATAGATATAGGGCTTTGATTTAAATAAAATTGACTTTAGTTCTACAAATAGACTTGTAAAATATTACCTCTCAAACAAATGGTTCATATAAAATAGTATATTATTTTCTGTTTTTTGGGTGTAGCATATTAATTGATAGTATTACGCCAATTAATATCTTATATTAATTGATAATATGGTTATTCTATAGATAAAAACTGATGTACTTATATTAAATTATAATTTCGTTAAACCTATATACACCAATTGAAAAGTATGATTGATTACTCAACCAAAAAAAGTGTGATTGATTTTTCAATTTTATATTGAATATATATACATATATATATATATGTATATATATTGATCTCGTTTAAGAAGGGTTGGCTATTATGTGGAAGCCACGTGATCATAAACGTGACGCCAAATCATAAAATTTGGCCGTAATTATATTTATATTCAACTATAGAAAAATTCTCAAATATTTTTATTTTTATTATACAACTCAATATATATATATATATATATGTATACTTATTGATGAGAGTACCCCGGAACACAAGAGCGAGTCCGGTCAAATATACGAGATGAACTCCAAGTTCAAGGGCCGTAAGATCGGCTTTCGTGCGCATGATTCATGAGGAATTCAGGACAACACGAGCTGAGAATGAGCACGGGAGTAAGATCGAGACTTGGATGAGTTGTTTACAAGAGAAGGACAACGATTTGCTTGGTGTCTTTGGCTTATCAAGTATTAATCTATAAGTGTTTGTGGCACCTTCACTGTTGGCTAGAGTTTTTAAGTCAAGTTTAACAAGGGTTAGACATGGCTTATTATTGAGTTCTAGTTTTTGTTTCGAGTTGTTTAGGGGTTTTAAAACAAAACTCATCGCCTAATTTTTTTCGTATAGAACGTGGATCCGGGTGTGTATCATTTATTATGGAATAATTTACTGAATATTAATTAACTTGACGTAAATGAAATGACAAATTAGTATTAAGATGTGGAAACCAAAAAAAAAATAGTATTAAGATGAAAACAACTTACAACAAACTCTACTTGTCGGAAAAGGAAAAAGAAAATAGCCGACGTGGAAGCCAACATAACGCAAAAAAGATATAATAGAATAAATAAATAAAAAAGGATTTAGTTGGCCAGCAGGGCTCGAAATGCTGTTAAAATATTATTTTTTTATTATTAAATTGACGGAATATTATTATATTTAATATTCATTTATATACCATCGCGCAAGAGGAGTCAAAAAAATGACAATATAACAATATTATCTTATAAAAAATAAATAAAAACATATATATGTATTAGTATGTCAGAGTTCTTACCAATTCGTATACATTTGTAGTATTTTTTTTCCCTTGTAAGAACAACACTAAACTTACGTACACCAAATGAGTGGCAGAGCAAGATTTAATACTATGGCCCATGTAATCAAAATTGATGGGCCCAAAAATATGGGCCCAATTTTTCGGGTAATTGTGGCCTAAGAACTGTAATTTCAATATTTTTAAAAATGAATGAATTTATTTTTTTTGTGAAAAAGTTTATGTTATTGACAATGAATTTTGGTGTATCAATTCTTATTTGTATCCAAATTTAAATGTTTTTAGAATTTTATTAGTGATCCTATATTAGGTAAAAATGGAATGCATGTTTTGTCCAAAAAGTTTATGTTTTTTTGGTAAAGTTTTCTCATTTGAGTTCGAACTCGGATGAGGAGATTTTGTCTCTTCTCACTCGGGTTAAGGGATTTTGTCTCTTCCCACGATATTTTTAATAATGTGGGAACCCTAGCTGTTAATTTTTGGATGCGTTAGCTAGGTAAATCTCCGTCCCACAGCACGAGTCCGCGACACATGAAAAAGTTGATGTTATTGATAAAACTACCGTTATCTTCGTTTTCCTTTGCGAAAACGCCATGCAGGGGTGTCAGAGCACGCGAGATCTTTGGGTCCGAAACCGGCACAAAGCCGCAGAGATAGACGATGCCATCGGAGATCTGCTCAAGAACCCGTCGGGTCCGTCACTCAACATCCTCATCAAGCTCATGCCCGTTGAATCTCTCGTCTTCGCCCCGTTCTTCGCCGCCCATGGAGGCTTCCTCTTCAACTTGTGGTGAGTTCCCCGAGAGGAAAAAACGCGAGGAGAAAGAAATCGAGATCGTCGGATCGAGAAAAATCGGACATCGTAACCCTCGTTGCCCTCGTATTGTGTTGCGCTGTTCTTATTGTATCTCGTTAAGTTAGTTATTTTATTTGAAATCGTTTAAAAATTCAATATTTATTTTCATTATTAAAAAAAGTTATGGTTTAATACAGAAATTAGAAAGACCTTTTTATGTTTATTTATTATCTGATAATTTTAAGGTTCATATATGTATTTAATATTATTTTTTTAACAAGTTTGTATATTAATATACAATATTCTCGAAAAAACATGAAAATTACGAATAGATGGGAACACCGGCCAATGTCTCTTCACCAAAATTTTATTTTCAATTTGGCAATTTTTATTACTTAAATCTCCAGAATCAATGCAATTTTTATTTTCTCCCATTTTTTTTTCTAATCAAATAACTGAAAAAAAAAGGAACTGGTTTCAGTTCCAACTGCAGATACCTAGCTACAAGCAGGTGCGACCACATTCGGCATGTGCACAAACACAATGGATAAAGGCGAGACCGTTATCGGATCCGTCGAGCTCACGGATCTCGGCTCGAGGGAAGGCATTTCGCCGGTCGGGCTTACGCTCAGGACGTTCCCGTTGAGCAGCACGCTCTGGCTGTGCAAATCCCCGTCTTTCGGGGTTAGATGGTACTCTTCCCTTCCCATCAACCCTTTCGAGACCCAAGGCCGCGGCAGCCCGGGAAACGCTCTTTTACGGGAGGATTTGCTCCCGTGCCTATGATGCACCGTATGGCGTAGAATCGAGGAGCCGTTGAACTCGACTCTCGCCTGGACCGTTGTGGTGTTGTCGAGGTTCATCAGTAGAACCGTTATCCCTTTCTGCGTAGATGAAAAACAACTGTTATTACCACTGGTTTTTTACTGCCTGTGGATTGAAAATTTGGTTCGAAACTTACCGATTGTTTTGCACAATGTGTGTAAGATCGTATCTTTTTCGAGCCCGAAAAGCTTGTGAACAATGCGTTTCTTCCCATGAGCCGGTGCCAGAGTAGAGCGCTGTGATTGTGAAAGCATTGAGATTTTTACTGGTTAGATGATAAAATTGGATGATTTTACCAATCAAACAATCCAAAGTTTGCATCTTTTTGATGATTTTCTTCTGGTTCGAAGCAAGTACTCCTTCGAACTTCTGGTGATTTGCCGGAATGTTTTGTATTTCAACTCGGGGTGGGCGTTAAAACCCGATACGTGCGGGTTTATGGGTACCCGGAATGCGGGTACTCAGCAGCGACGAGGCCAAGCACGGGTGGGACGAGACGAGGGATCTGGATCATGGGTACAGGTTCGGGTTTTTCTGTTGCGTGATGGGATACCCGCGGGTACCGGTTGATGTGCAAAATGACATTTATACCCCTAGCATTTTTAGGGTAATTCCAATAATACCTAAGTCTATTTCCGTGCAAAGTTACCATTATACTATGTAGCCTACATGTGTCAACAAAAATTTGCAGGTTTTCACGGGTTCGGGTACCGAGTCTCGCACCGTCGAGACCCAGATACTTCGGTCATAAAACCCGTGAAGGCGAGGCAGAAGCCGGGTGCCCCAAAAAACTCGGGTATCCGACCTGCCCCCCATCCTTCTCAATTCGTTTCAGTGGTTTTACCTGTAGTAGTCTGGATTCGGTGTGAAGTTAGTAGTATTGAGCAGTCCATAGTTCCCTCCGACCAGCGACTGCCTGCAGTACGTTTTCGTGTCATAGAGCGACGACATACCGAGCTGATCCAGGTACCTACAAACCCGTATGCGTACGTATACACAAAATATTATTAATACACTTTGGAAACGTTGTACTTAAAACATGATAGTATCATAGTGTACGCATCTCTTACCAGAAACTATACACAAATGCATTGGAGACAAGGTTGTGGCCGCTGTTATACGCTCCGCCCGCCTCACCGACCCATGCCGCCGCCTTAGTTGGCGAGCTCTTGATTACGTCCCGGAGGCTCCTAAACGTGTTAGCCTCTCCATCGAGGTAAGAAGGATCGAGGATCTTCTCCACCAGATGATCATCAACTCCTGATCCATCAAAGTTTCTCACCGAAAACATTGTTAAAATACTTTTACGAGAGGGTTTTATCGAAAACGTAAGGAAACATCGAAAAAACAACCAATATTTTTTGATTGTCTTTCTGTAAGATTCTTGGTCGAAAAACAGATCGGGTTTTGAGATTCGGGGCTATACCTGGACCGAGATTATAGATGTGGTGAGTTGCAGCGTCGAGGGAGTTCACCGTTTTATCCAAGTATTCTTTGAACCACGACGCGTCGAAGAATCCGCCCGGGCCGATCACCATTGGCTTGGAACTCACGTCTTTGTAAACTCTGTTCACTATGTTTCCGAGAGCTATGGTGTCTAGAGCGTACTGATTGGCCGAAACTCTTGCCCCGACCCCGTTTCCGCATAGCTCATTGCCTGATAAGAAAGGTAAACCGATTTTTTTCCGATCTTGAAGTCGCTATTATACATTCTCTTTCCCATGTTTTGGGGCGTTAAAAACTTACCGAGCTCCCATCCATGGATGGTGTAATTTTTCTGCGCCGTATACCGAATGAATGATTCAGCATTTGTATAGTCCCAGGCTCCGACTGCAGACCCATCTGGTTGAACCTTACGCCCGGAAAGAGCATTCAACCCGAAAACGACTTCAGCCCTGATCCGAAACCCGAATCAGCAGAGGCGTATATATGGCGGGATAATACCCGAAAACGAAGAATCTCGGCCTGTTTTCGTTACCCGGTTCTCTGAAAAAAGGCGTTGATCTCGTCCCATCGGCGCATCGGAAGGCATCCCTCTGTGAAACCAAAGAGGACGGAAGAGTTCCTAGTGAACGGAACACAAGGCTGCTTCAGCTCTGGTGTCTCATATACGACGATGTCTTGTAATGTCCCTCCCAGTCTTATCTTCAGTGGAGCAAAAGCTGTTTTCAAGGCATCAAATTAAGGTGAAAGGCACAAACTTTGGGAAATTTGTGAGACCAAATTTTTTTAAAAAAAATTCCATATAAATACTTAAATTTTTTATAAATTCCCAAAATTTTCCAAAATTCTAAATAAATATCCAGATTTTTTATAAAAAATCCAAATATACCCAGAATCTATTAATACCGTTAACTATTTTTTATTTAAAAAATATTTAAACTTTGAGTTTATTTGGAAATTTTCTAAAAGTCTAGGTATATAGGATTTTTAAAAAGTTCAATATTTATATGAGTTTTATAATTAAAGTATTTATTTGAGATTTTTATAAAAATGTAGTTACTTATATGCGAATTTACCAAAACAAAATGATGGGTCAATGCTATTGTGATAGGAAATATACAGAAATGAAAGTGGCATATATTAGATTAAGATTAGATTGTTACCTTTGATTGCATTTTGAAGAATGTTGTTGCTTAGGTCCTGTAAGGAAATCGATGTAATCAGTTTCAGAAAAAGATTTATTTTATTTTATTTTATTCAATCAAAATTACCAAAAATGCCACAAAAATGGGTTGGGGTGATAATGAAGTAACTCTAAAGACAAATAGCAGAAATGTGCATTGGGACCATTACTGATTTTAATATATGAGAGAAGATATTTATAATGTTTATTCAAATCATCTCAGAATCTCTTTGACCATTTGCAGAAATATCATCCTTTTTTTTTTAAATTGTGAAAAAAAATGGAACTGCAATGATAATGAAAGAAACTTATTCCAAGTGCACAAATTAAGTAAAATCAATTTAAATGAATGAATTTAATTTAATTTGTTCCTCACAAATTGACCTGCATTTACTATTGTTATAGTATAAAATTATAAATGGTGTTTGGCAAGAATCTTCCCAAAAAAAAAACAAAATCATCTATAGAATTATAATTACAAAATATCAAAGAAAAAACTAAACATCTATTTTCCAACACTGCACAAAAAAAAAAAAAAATAGATACTTCAGAGAATCAGATTGCAGATTTCATCTATATATCACTAAGAATTCACCTTTTTATGGGTAATTATATTATTAAAAAAATAACCCATTAATTATTCAGAGTTCACAGAAATTATATATCTAAATCCATTTCCCACAAAGAAAAAAAAAACACAAGTGCATAGTTCTTAACGGAAAAAAAAGTTAAGAAATGGTCACAAAGCTAAAAAAATCTCCTCCTCTTCTGAAAAAATTACAAAATTCCAAAAAAAAAATAATCATAACAAAAACAATTACCAGATTGAGGAGAGAAGCATGGTCCCAACTACAAGTGCCGTAGTCGCATTTCTCCGGCGGCCACCAATCCAACGTGGCACATACGAAGTCGCTGTCGGTTCTTCCCACGGCGGCTCTTCCGTCTACGTACACCGTCCCTACGCCGCTATCCACGGAGGAGCTCTCGCCGGAACATATAACTCCGGCAAGCACAAACACCCACAGGAACAAACCCATTTGCCAGATTCGCCGAGAACCCATTTCGTATTTTTTTTGGGTTAGTGTGAAGGAAAAAAAAACAAAAGGGGGGTTCAAAAGCCTCAAGATCTGAGGTTATGTCTTTATATGGAAGACAGGAGAAAGTGAAGAAAAAAAAAAGTTAAATTATTTTTTGTTTATAATTTATTTTTATTTTTTTGGTTGGTCGAGTTACTCCTTCACGTGGAATAAAGTATTCATACGTGAAAGGGCAGAGCAAAAAATAATATATAATGACAGACAATCAACTTACAATATTTAAATGTGACTCCTATAATAAAATTTCAGTTCCAATATTCAATATCGAATAGAATAAACACCAAATTAAATTCAACATAAAAGGTGATTAGTTATAATCTTTTAAAATTAGAATTAAATACAATAAAAATTTGAGCATAATATAACAATGATGAAAAAAAAAGGAATAAAAACAAAAGGATGAAATAATGGAATGGATTGGCTACCTATATCTTTCTTTCTATTATTATAAGAGGGTTTTCATTTCTAAGGCACGGGATACAAGGATTTCTAGAATTTCTTAATTAGTTTTATTTTTTATTTTTTTAACATATATATATATATATATATATATATATATATTCGTAGTTGATGGATATCAAATCCTCATCCCGTTTTAAACAGGATGTAGTTTAGATTTCTTCCAAATTTTAAAATTTTTTAAAAAATATTCCGTCACATTTTCATTAATATTCTATTGAAGTTGATATTTTTTAATTAAAGATGAAATTGAAAATTTTCTAAAATCATCTAAAAAATCTAAAACAATATATATTAAGTAACAAAAAAATATTAAATAGTAAAATATTTTCTACAATGACATCTATTAAAAACGAGATCTATTTTTTTTAAAAAAACATAGGGAGTATCAATCTACTAGAATTACCAAATCAATCTATTGCTATTATCTTAGATAGAATTTAACATGATCGTGTAAGAGAAAATCATGTTAGGTTAATGCACAGTAATTAATCTCGTACTTTGAGTCCAAATCAAGGAAATAAAATTATTTATCTAATATATATACACACATATCTATTATTTATTTAAATTTAAATTTACTGATTAATTAAAAAAAAGAAATTTGTCGAAAAAAATATCAAATTTGTGCCGCAGTGAAGATATTTATCACTTCTCGGAATTCGAATGTAACTAAGCATCATTCATCATTCTCAACAACAAAATGAGTCTCTTAGAAGATTAAAACAAAAATTCTCTCTAGTGAATCTAACATCTATGGCGTCTATAAAACTAGGGGATGTTTCGCTACGGTTTTTTGGAATCGACCCGTAGTGAACAGAAAAATATGGTATTTTTTTAATCGAAGCGTTCAAACTTTTTGAACGGTATTTTTTTTAGAAAACTAAATTTTTCGTAATCAAACCGAATCTAATCAAATTTTAAAAATTCGAAAAATTAATTTTTTTAAGAAGATCTAAAATTTTCTAAATAAAAACCAGAATCGAATCAAACCGAATATAATATAATAAATAACTGATTGATATATATTTTTGTAAAAAAAAAAAAAAACCGAATCTGACCAGTCCACCCTACATAAAATAACTTTTTTTTTTTGCAAAACAAACATAACGCCTGAAATCTTTTCAATCTTCATTAGGAGCTTCCAATATTTGGAGCAATATAAAATTTCACAAATTGGCCGAAATTTCAATTGGAAAGACAAAATTTCAAACTTTGCTAAGGCTCACATTTCTTACAACTAATTTTGAAAGCCATAGTCTAACTTGGATGAGCTATCGACATCATTAAAATCCTTTTTAAAAATAGGGGTTGTATGTATGTATCTATGTATGTGTAATAATGAAATCATACCATCGTGGTTATGGTCGCTCTACCAATTATTGGTTTCTTGTCTGCTTTTACCCTATACTTATTAGATCCTCTAAATTTTAAAGTTAAATAATAAATTTGGGGAGATTTCACTATCCATTCACCATCCGGATGCATATATTAACTGTTAACTGCAAGGGTTTGGATAATGCTGGCATGCCATAAAAATATAAATGATAATAACAAAAATAAAGTTTATTATAATTTTTTATTTACATAAAACAATTTAGATCATTATAAAAACAACCAATCAAATCAGGATAATACGCATCTTGCAAGCCCTAAAAGAGCCTGTCCAAATAGATACAAAATCATTCCTCTTGATAAATTTATTTCTATTTCAACTATTAAAATATCATTCCTCAGCTGCCTTGAACAAGACCTGTCCGAATGGGTACATTATCATCCTCGGATATATTTAAACAAATTTATTTTCTTTTTTCATATTTATTACACCTAATTCAATAACACGTTTGATATTCTCTATCATCATCATTGTTATTATTGTAATTATTTTTAGAAGAAGAAGATAAATAATTTGCCACGTACGGGATTGTTGTGTATTCCACATATTTTTATGGTGGAGGCTCATATCATCATCAAAGAAATAATTTTTGTTGTATTTAATATTCAAACGCTTATTACCCTTTTTTTTTTATAACCAGGATGGTTCTCCGAATTTTCGGTCCGACTACATCCACCCTAGATCTGGGACCAGTCTTTGTATATGGATCATTTTGGTTCAGAAATTACATCTCTCTCCACTAGTAAAATCGAATCCAGAACATTGAGGACGACTTTGTCATCTCCCGGCCACTGATATTACCCTTTCATATTAATGACATGGAGGTTGGAGTTTATTAATAAACTCTCAATGAGGACCGTATTCAAAGAAAGACCTAATCCGATAATATAGAGTCTCTCTCTATATATATATACATATATGTGTGTGTATATATATATTGGTTGGTTGAGATTTAGTTATAAGGTAACCTAATACCATATCTAATTTTTGTTTGGACCTCTCTCTTTTTCATGTGTATGAGCTGTTACAAACCTTTGGATCGAAGACGAAGCTAACAACAAGTGTTTTCAGTACTTGTCCCCGACCAACCACAGAGACTCCGCTTCCGTTGGAATTAAGAAACTGCATAATTGTAGAAATTAATAAACGGATTTTAATGGAAAAATGGCCTGACCAACCATAAATGATAATTTATATTAATGATTTTATTTGTCACCCGTACATATTTTATATTTTTTTTTCGATCTATTATGAATTTATGGCCGACTCCTTAGCCCAACCTCGAAGAGCTTTTGGGCCCAACCTCTTTGATTTATAGTGACGAGGAACACGGTCCATGCCTAAACCCATCCACCATAATAAAATAAACAAATGATCCATCTCACATCTCTCACTAGATTTACAATTATTGAAGTTCGGCATCATTAATTAGGCCAAGAAAATTAATAATTTAATCTACAATCTTACATCTTAGAGAGGACCAACAAGGCGAGCGAGATGGTAGGCGAGGCAAAAGGGTCGAGGGGGATTTACGTGGCCGAGATGAGACGATAGGGGTCGACTCGGTCGAGGACTCGAGGCATACCTGGTCCGGAGGTGAAATTAACCTCGACCTCTGAGCGAGGCAGCAAAGTCTCAATTCAAGATTCAAGAATGTATGATTTCGGTTCGAAACCAAAATCAGATCAGTTCGAAACCCGGGACCACGGGTACTCGGGTTTCAAGTAAAACCACCATCCTTACCGGTCGGTCTCAATTTACACCTTCTCTTTATATCGTGTATTATCTTGTAGTACCATAGACATTATATTAATATTATATATTACAAAAAATATTATATATTACAAAAAATGTCTTGCATGGAATATGAAATGAAAAAAAAAATCCAATAAAATAATCTTTGTTGAGACACGACACGAGTTCACCTCCTTAAATTCCACATTGCCTTAAAAAGACTTTGTACTTGAACACGTATCACCACCTCTGTCTGATTATTCTACAAAACGACTTCTACTTAAAGTTCATCTTCTTCTTCTTCTCTGATCTCTGAGATTCGCCATATGGACGTCGAGGTCAAGCTCCGTCTCCTCACGGCAGCCACGTATCACCGCCTCACCACCGTCCTCGCTCCCTTTCACCTCAGGACATTACGTCAGCATTACCTCTTCTTCGACACCCCTCGGAACGATCTCTCATCCCGTGACCTCGTTCTCCGTCTCCGCTTCCAAAGCTACGTCGGTTCATCCCCGGCTTCCCCTCGCGGCGTGATCGACCTCAAGGCGAAACCAACGCTCGTCAATGGGATCTGCAGGGTGGAGAAAGACGAGGAGGATATCGATCATGGGTTTGCAAGAGAATGCATGGTTTCGCCATGGAAGCTCTGCTCTTTGGAATCTAGGGTTTTGAAGAGGGTGAGGAGAGAATTAGGGTTTGGTGATGGATCTGATAATCTAGGGTTTGTCTGTTTAGGTGGGTTTGAGAATTTGAAGTCAGAGTACGAATGGGGAGGCGAGAGACTCGAGGTTGACGAGACGATGTACGGATTCGGGACTTGTTACGAGATCGAATGCGAGACCGGAGAACCGGAAAGAGTCAAGACGATGATTGAAGGGTTCCTTAAAGAGCAAGGTATCGAGTTTTCGGATTCAGATTCAACAAAGTTTGTCGTTTTCCGGTCGGGAAAGCTGCCCTAAACGAGGTTAGATCTTTGATGTGTAGATGTGCTGAATCGCATATTCAATGTCAACCCGTACGGGCAGACGAATTTATGTAATATTTCTCTACTCAACAGATGTGTCGAGGCAAATGACTAAGTTTATGTAATGTGTTTTAAATAAAAATATTGTCGGTAGCCTTCGCCAACATACATGACATCGTGGGCCATTTAGGGTAAGTTTCCAAAAAAAAAACACGTGGTTTATTTGGATAATCGTTATAATTATTTGGATATTAATTTTCGAAAAAACTCTTGCACGGTTTACGAGGGACTTCAGTCACAAACCAACACCACATCATACTTTGACTAGACATGCATTGGAAGTTTGACTTTGACTCTTCTGGCATTTGGAATTTTTTATGGGTTTTTTTACTAGTGTATAAATTTCGTAAAAGTTGTGTAGATGTGGAAAATATTTGGTCCTAAATTTGTGATATTATAACTATTTCGTGGAGTTTAATTACGAGTTTCTTTGGGATCTAACGTTTAAATTCATTGTTTTCCTTGTTTTAGTTTGAATTTCTTCATATCCTAGTAAAAGAAAAAAAATTATGGAGAACCCATGATTATGGGTACTAATAGTCCTTGGACTGAACGAATTTATTATTTTTCTATATATTCAAATTGGCATTCGGTATAATTATATCTACATATAAATATCACAAATTAATTTGCATCCAATAAAAAGCGAAAAAACTAAATCGAACTATTCAATAAACCGAATATTGAAACGTTCATCCCTGAATATATTTTAATATATTTTATTTACTCCCCGAATAATGATATTATCGTTAGATTATCTTGCAAGTACATTTTTTTTTATCTCGACCAAAACTCATAACCTCAACAATCTCCTTGTGGGTTTCGTGGTTATATAAAACTTTTCAAATCCATATATATATATATATATATATATATATATATATATATATATATTTTTGTTAGT